AAGGAAATGGGACTGTTCTCAAGTACTAGAAGGAAAGGCACTGGTCTTGCTATCAGGAGTCCTAGTCAAAAATCCTGTTTGACTCAGAGTATAATCCTCACCAAATCACTTAACCACGTAGGCTCAATTTTCTTATCTGAGAAATGGAGGCGGGAGAGTAGGCATGCCACCTGTTTCACAGGATTGCTGAAAAGGTTAAATATGATAATGTGAATGTAAGTGGCTTTTTGCACATAGTAGGCACTCAGCAATAGCTGAAACACACTAAAAAGCAGTGCTGACACTGAAACACAGAAAGTGCTGACAGAAACAAAACATTTTCTGTAATTGAGAAACTGCCCTGACCCCCACTGCCGCAGCGCCCTTGGCTTTTTACTCAAACTCTACACACAGTTTTAAAAACTCTTATCAGGGATCATAATAGGAAGCTTTCACATCCTACTTTTTGGGCTGATTTTTGTAAGGCAAATACTAACATCTGAAATCTATTTTAAATCTATTTTTAACAAGTCCAGGTATTATTTGGTTAAAAGAAACCTGAGCTGGTGAGGTTACCAGCTGAGATGGCCCTAAGGTTCTACACGTATTGCAGAGATGTGACTGCTATCATCCTCTTAGGGCTAATCTGGGTGAATGAGACAATCACTAGAGAATTTCTTATAGGTTAAAAGCGGGCAATCTTGATCCAAATCCCTAATAGAGGTTTAAGGAACTATGGGGAAATGTCTCCTTCAGACACTCAGCCCTCACCTCAGCTTCATCACCATCTTCCTGGATCAGGCCCAGGCTTCATACCCAGACCATAAGACCTGACATCACCTAGTCCTGTCTACTTCTCAGACCTTATCTCCTGCCCCTTTCTCCTTAAAATGTATGTCTCAGCAGCACCAACTTGTTTGGAATTCATCAGTGCGTGTGCGTGTGTGTGTGCGTGCATGCAGGCATGCACATGCGGGTGCAAACTGTTTCCTTTGCCTCCAATGCCCTCACTATCCCCACCCCACCCAGCCCTAACATCTAGAACCTTGCTACTTAAAGTGTGGTCCTGCAGCTCTGGCATCCCACAACCTTGTTAGAAATGTAGACTCTCAGGCCTGTTCTAGACCTAATGTTAAGAATCTGTATTTTAATAAGATTCCAGGTGATTGGATGTAATTTAAAATGGAGAAGCCCTAAACTAAGACCTTACTCTTTCCAGAAGCCCTCTTTGACAGACAATAGCCCCTGCCTCCCAGCCATGCCAGACAGATGCCCCTCTTGGGTGTTCCCAACCTTTTGTTTGCCTCATTTATTATAGAGTAATTTGCATATGCTTATCTGTTTATGTGTCTGTCTTCTGTCCCAGACTGAGGGCTCCCCATAGGCTGCAGAACATACCATCCTTGTGTCTCCCATTTTGTACAAGTCCTGACAGATGGTCAGAGCTTAAGAAATGTCATTTGACACAACTAGTAACTTTTTTTTTTTTTTTAATTGAGATGGAGTCTTGCTCTGTCGCCAGGCTGGAGTGAAGTGGCGCAATCTCGGCTCACTGCAACCTCCACCTCTTGGGTTCAAGCGATTCTTCCGCCTCAGCCTCCCGAGTAGCTGGGACCACAGGCATGTGCCACCACGCCCAGCTAATTTTTGTATTTTTAGTAGAGACAGGGTTTCACCATGTTGGCCAGGATGGTCTCAATCTCTTGACCTCAAGATCCACCCGCCTTGGCCTCCCAAAGTGCTGGGATTACAGGTGTGAGCCACTGTGCCCAGCCAAATTCTTGTGATTTTAAATTTTATTTACTACTTTAATAGGTTGTTTTTGTTTTTTGAGATGAAGTCTTGCTCTGTAGCCCAGGGTGGAGTGCAGTGATGCAATCTCTGCTTACTGCAACCTCCACCTCCCAGGTCCCAGTTCAAGCAATTCTCCTGCCTCAGCCTCCCAAGTAGCTGGGATTACAGGCACCCACCACCATGCCCAGCTAATTTTTTTTTGTATTTTTAGTAGAGACAGGGTTTCACCATTTTGGCCAGGCTGGTCTTGAACTCCTGACTTCATGATCTGCTGCCTCAGCGTCCCAAAGTGCTGGAATTACAGGCATGAGCCGCCATGCCCGGCCCTTAAATAACTAATAGTTTTAACAAGTTCAATAACCATAACTTTAATAAGTAACTTTGCCAATGACATCAGATACCTGTGGGCTATGTGTAAAAGTATTACAATTGGCTGGGCGCAGTGGCTCACACCTGTAATCAAAGCAATTTGGGAGGCCAAGGCAGGAGGCTTGCTAAACTCAGGAGTTCGAGACCAACTAGGGTAGCAAGGTGAAACCCTGTCTCTACAAAAAACACAAAAATTATCCGGGTGTAATGGCATATGTCTGTAGGCCCAGCTATTTAGGAGGCTGAGGTGGGAAGACTATTTGAGCCTAAGAGGGAGAGGCTACAATTAGCCAAGATTTCGCCACTGCTCTCCAGCCTGTATGACAGGGCAAGACTCTGTCTAAAAAAAAACAAAGCATTACAATTTAGGTTAATCATGTTACATATTTGAATCTAGATACTCAGAATGCTGTGTTTATGTATTCTTCATACGTAAAATATTATAAAATTAATTTTAAATTGTATTATATAAAGTTTCAAACATACACAAAAGTGGGGAAGAATAAAGAACCCCTCACCCAACATCGACAAATATTCATTTTTTTTTTTTTTAACCATTCTTGTTTCATCTATTTCTCTCATCCTCACTTAGTCACTCTTTGGGGGCTGGATTGTTTTCAAACAAATCCAAAATATAACGCCATTTCAACCACAAATATTTCAGTATGTAACTGTAATTTTAATGGACTTAACCACCATGCCATTATTGTAGCTAATAAAATTGACAGTAATTCCTTAATATAATCTAATACTCGGTCTGTATTCAAATTTCCCTGTCTCAAAGATGAATTTTTATAGCTGGATTTGTAGAAATTGGTGAGGAGAATGTTTTTCAGCAAACAAAAAATAGTTCTCAATAGTCAAACCAACAGGCCCTAGAGATCTAAAGCGTGGGATCTAGAGACATAAACCTGATAACATTGGAATTTGCTTTTGAAGTCTGCATTTCTCCTGGCTGCAATAAGAACTTGGGGTTTCTGAGAAACATACTGGCAGAAGCAGTTTAAGGGGTAAATCCAATTACTTCCGAGTTGTTCTTTTAACAGTAAGTTCTGATCCGTGCTCTGCAGGTCAAGAGCACAGTTCAGATTTCTCTCTGCTCCCATTTGAGTCGCACTTCAGGTCTGCCTCCTGCTTGTTGCAGCTCTACACATAACACACAAGGGGCAGAGATCTGGCCCACCATTCAACCAGATTCTGCTTTGTCCCCACACATTCACTCCCCCTGGCTCCTGCTGGGTCTGTTATATTCAGATATGAATTTTCCAGGAATATGATCATGTCACAGGCCTTTTTCTGTATGACAAGTTCAATGCTAATCATGAATAGCAGGCTTCATGCAAAGGGTTAGTATTATTCATGAAAATTGTGACTTCACATCCAGAAATAGGACAAAAGTGGCCTAAAATAGGCAGGCTGTATCTCGGTTAAATCCACCAGGCAATTACCAACGTCTCTTGCTATGAACAGTACAAGAGTTTTTGCTCAACTATGTTAATCAGACATGCTAGAAGCACAATATTCTGCCAGACTCAATGTCTGAGGTCCGGCTTGATGGGGAGCCCTGCTGCCCACAGGGTAAACTGAAGGGTTTTCCAAAGAACCAAAGCCAGACACCGCCCATCCTCTATCCCCAGAAACCAGGTACTATAGAGCTCTCATTCCCAACTTCTACAAATCTCTCTGCCCAGACCACTTAAAGGCTAGCTTTAGAGATTTGAGACAGTTATCAAGGGGCCACAGAAAAACTGAAATAATATTTAATTTTCCTTTGCTGGAACAGTAAAGCATATATGGTAAATATTACAAATTAGAGGCATACTAAATGGTTTGTAGCATTTTGTTATAATTCTCTCCTCTAGAACCTGGTTTCAATGACCACATGAATCAGTTACTACTGGCCCAGATTGTATTTTAGAAATGCAAGTCAAAGATTATCTTTCCAAATAAAAGTACCCAGATTGAAACCCCCTCTTTACCACTCCCAAGAGAATGACACAGGCTGGTATTAAAAGACCATCTTTGTGTTGAACAAATGGACCGAAGAAAATCTGGTTTCCTCTCTCTCTGCCTCTTTCTTCTTTACATAACTAGAGGCAAATGAGATGTTTTTCGTTTTAAAAATTTGATTAAGCAGACTGAGCAACAGCCCATTCTTCTGTTCTTTACTGTTTTCTCAATTTGGGGACTGGATTAAGGCACACTCAGGTTGGAAGGACAGTGAAGCTAAGGCCTAACTGCCAGGCAGTGTTGACATCTGGGCATTTAAATTACAAAAGGTGAGTACTAGGTCTGCAGCACTGGTTCAGGGGCTGCCTTTCCCCCTGGAGGCCTTGGAATTCAGACTGCTATTCCAGGTGCCACTGAAAGGGTCCCCAAGTCCCATATACAAGCCTCCTGACCTGAGAAGTAGGAAAGATGGCAGGGCAAAGAATAGGTTTAAATAATAACCTACCTAAATAATTAGAAAAAAAAATAACCCAGATAGAATGGTTATGAATGCACTCTCTTTTTCTTCAGCTGTAGGCACTGAGCTCTTTTGGCAATTTTTTTTTTTTTTTTTGGTGAGATGGAGTCTTACTCTGCCACCAGGCTGGAGTGCAGTGGCATGATCTTAGCTCACTGCAATCTCTGCCTCCAGGGTTCAAGCAGTTCTCCTGCCTCAGCCTTCCAAGTAGCTGGGACTACAGGTACCCACCACCACACCCACCTAATTTTTTTTGTATTTTTCATAGAGTCGGGGTTTCACTATATTGGCCAGGCTGGTCTTGAACTACCTGACCTCGGACAGGGGACTCCCTCTCTGCACTCTTAGTGCTCAGTTCTGTAAACCATCACACTAGGTATTGCGGTCTTACTCTGGCAAGCAGGTATCTCACAGTACTTCCAGTAGACACCATCCTCATGCTCCGCCACATAGCACCAGGGGCTCACGTCTCCATCTGGGTTTCTGTTGGGGAAAAGGATAAAATTCATGATTTCTGATGTGTTAACTCAGCTGGTTCATTGCTGTTCAGTTTTACAGAAAAGGAAATGCTTTGCTTCTGTATTGTTTCTAATACTTGGTCTGTATCTCAGTGCCATCTCTTGTCAAAAAGGAAAATATGGTAATATTACAAGAACAAACATATCCACCATGACATATAGTTCAGAGTCTGGAGGAAAGTGAGCAAAGGTAATATATGTTTAGGTAAATTCACTATAGTTTAACTAGGACAAATGACTACTGCACACATCATGCCAAATAGCACTGGCACCTTGAATGTGAACATGGAGACTCCAAGGCTGAGTGAGCACAGGGGCTCTCAGTGCTGCTGATGAATATGCGAACTGACACAACTGGTCAGAGCAGCAATTTGGTAATTAGAGCCAAAGGCCCTAGAAATATGCAAACCCTCCACTTGGCAATTTCCTCTTTAGGAATTTATTCTAACGAAATCTCACCTATATAGATGTTCAACAAAACACTTTTATAATATGAAAAACAGGTGGAAATAGCAAATGTCCAATAAAGGATTGGTTAAATAGTATATCCATAGAAGGGAATACTAGGCAGCTAGGGAAAATGTGGTATAGAAACCAGTCTTATTAATTTGCAAATATATTCACAATGCCTTATTAGACATTTTTTTTTTTTTTTTTTTTTTTTTTTTGAGAAGGACTCTCACTTTGTCGCCCAGGCTGGAGTGCAGTGGAGTGATCTTGGCTCACTGCAACCTCTATCTCCCAGGCTAGAGCAATTCTCCTGCCTCAAGCCTCCCGAGTAGCTGGGACTACAGGTGCACACTTCCACGCCTGGCTGATTTTTCTGTTTGTTTTTAGTAGAGGTGGGTTTTCACCATGTTGGCCAGTCTGATCTCCAGCTCCTGATCTCAAGTGATCTGCCCATCTTGGCCTCCCAAAGTGCTGAGATTACAGGCGTGAGCAACTGTGCCCAGCCTTATTAGATTTTTTTTTTAAAGAGGCAGTTATAAAACCCAATAGATGACACAATCCCATGTTTTGAAAAGACGTACTTAAGAAGGAATGTACACCAAACTCTTATAAAGTATCTCTAGACACTGGAACTATTGGTGATTTCAATATTTTTTTCTTTTCTGGTATTGTTTCCTTGATAGTGAATACTCCAATGGTGTAATTTTTAAACAGTAAAATAAAATTCACTTAATAAAGACTCCACTGACAAGCTTTCATCAGGATCAGTCTCACATTTGCTAGAAATGGGTGCTATTCCTTCCTCAAAGTGCTGACTCCTCAGAAAATACTGAGGAAAACTGCGCCAGAGTTTCAGTCAGAACTTATGATCCTGTCATGTGGTACCAATTTCTGATATGGAGATATTTTTAAAGATGTATTTCGCATTTCTAAATGAGAATGGCCTGGAATAAATACCCTTTAAGGTCTTTTCAACCCATAGATGCCATAACAATAAGAAGCAACACTACTGAAGCAGACAAATAAAATGGCAGGGGCTACTGGACACACAGAAAAGACTCCACTGCTTTCCAAGCCCCTTTTATTTAGACTCAGAACACTGGAAACCTGACACTCCGGTTAGGCCGGAAATGGGCATAAAGACCCTGCAGCAGGAGCCGGGGAGCAACCCCTATCAGGCCAGAGCGGGCTAAGCCTATCATGTGGCCTGGAAGATAAGCTTTCCCAAAGCACAAAGCGTCCTTTTATTTCTTGTGCCCAAAGGCAGGTGCCAGCACCAACTCTGCTCTTCCCCATTCTCTGCCTTCCTTCTAAGCCAGTTACTTTGAGCCCAGAAAAGTGCATTCCCATCACTCGCCAACTCTCAGACATCTCTAATGTGATGGGTCTGAAAAAGTCACACAGGACAAACATGGTGTCGGGTGTCAGCTGAGAAATCAAAGTAGGAGAGCTTGTACAAAGCCCTTCTTTAAACAATATTTCACTGTCATTTTCCTCCCTCTATTCAGTGTTCAGCTTTGATGTAGTATTTATTTGGTAAAGCCCTTAGAAAACAACTGTTTATTATCAACGTCAAAACCATATTGAAAAGCATCAGAATAGCTTAATAAAGAACAAGCAAATTCATCCTTAACTTTGCTGCAGTGCTAAAACAAAAGGCCTGGACTCTTTGATGTAATAATCCACAATTTCAGCCTCCCTTTTCCAAAGTATAAACTGGTATTAAATAGTTCAGGTCTCCTGCATTCCATCAAATCAAAGGAGAGGGTTTGATGTGATGGCTGCCCAGGGCTAAGGAGAAAGGTTGTCCCTCCTGGCTCTCACTGCTCTCTTAATGGAAGTTTACAGGTGCATTTCTAGGAGCCTTGGGTAGAAGTGAGTGCTAATCCATAAGAAAGAAAAATTTTTTCACATAAATTAGGCCTCACTGGAAATTTGAAATTTACCTTAAAGTCATATTTAAGGCTGGGTGCAGCGGCTCACACCTGCAATTCTAACACTTTGGGAGACTGAGGCAGGTGGATCACAAGGTCGGGAGTTTGATACCAGCCTGGCCAATATGGTGAAACCCCATCTCTACTAAAAATACAAAAAAAATTAGCCGGGCGTGGTTGCACATGCCTGTAATCCCAGCTACTCGGGAGGCTGAGGCAGGAGAATTGCTTGAACCCAGGAGGTGGAGTTTGCAGTTACCCAAGATTGTGCCACTGTGCTCCAGCCTGGGTGACAAAAAGAGATTTTGTCTCAAAAAAAAAAAAAAAAAAAAAGTCAGACTTAAAAACAGGAGTTCCTCTAAGATTTGTTTGATAGGAAGCAGCAGAGCAATAGAATAAACCAACAGCCTACTACCACGAGACACTTTGGAAAAAGAAGAGAAGTAACTATGGAAAGACAAAAACCAAATACTTCTTTCTCTTCCTAAACACTCTTCTCAACCCAACCCAACTATTCCTATAAACAGAAAACCCAGGGTAAGGTAATAAATAAAAAATGGGGTGAGACTAATATTTTAATTAATGCAAAAAATTAACATGTATAAGTTTGAAAATAAAATATGAAAGAATCATTTAATGAACACGTGTAACTTTAATAATGAAATACAACAGATAGCAAAATGTGACATGGCAAATACATAAATTGTATCTGGGACTTGGGACTTGGTGGGGAGGGTTTCAAGAAAAATGGGTAAAATGGGGAACTTTATTTAAACAACATACATCTGTAGTGTTTGAGAAGTTTTTTTAAAGAACAAGCTTTTAACACTTTTATAACATGCAAAATAAGTCAATGGCAACTAGGAGGGAATGGTGAGTTGATACAAGATAGCACAGAGGTGAAGGGAAGTGCTGAAGGTATGGGGATAAAGAGAACATAGACTAAAGGCCTGGTGACTTTGAGATAACTACAAGGGCCCTAGAGTGTTAGCAAAGGTATGTAGAGGGCAGAAGGTAAACAGTGTGGCCCACACAATACAGGAAAATGTATGTTGGCTCAGCTGGGTCAATAGCACCATGGTTGAGATTCCAACATATGTAGAACCAGGGACATGGTGTATAGTTCAACAATGATTTTTTCCTGCCCCAATGGCTCAAGAGGCTGCCTTTGCACCTGTCCTAATAATAATTAAATTCAGTGCATTGCTGAACCATGAGTCTCATTACCAGGATCTTGAGCACAAGCAGCACAAATGTGTAACCAGAAGTGCTTACAATCATTTTTCTGGGCCCTACATACCAGTGATTCTGAACCTGTTTTCAATCACAGATAATTTTGAGAAGCTGATCAAAGCTATGGATCATCCCCAGGAATTGTGAATACACATTTGAAGTATCACGGATGTCAGGTTAAGAGCCCCTGCTAGGGTCAGACAGGAGGAGAAAAGCAAAGCAACACTTAGTCTACTAAAAGGAAGTAAACAGCACACATCTGATGGATACAGCTGTTCCCAGAGCAAGGTTATCCTCGGCTGGCCGGAGGTAGTATAACGTAGGCAGCTTCCTTTGCTCAGAAGCAGGAGCTTGGGTCACAGATGGTGCTGTTTGACCATGACATTCTCAGTAGCGTAGGCTGCTCTTCTAACTGTGTATTGTCCACTGGTGGTAGGGCTAACTGAGAAAGCCCTCCCAAAGAGACAAGAAGTGATCAGACAGAAAAGCAGAGCTTTGAAAACCAGCATTAAAGCATGTTAATGAGTGAAGAGTGTTGAAAAGAGTGGCAAATTGTGTGTGTGTGTGTGTGTGTGTGTGTGTGTGTGTGTGTAAAGTGTGGGAGAAATATTTTAAAAGCTGACAAAATAAGTCTCTGAAGTGGCCAAAAGGCTTTCCCAAGTTGTGAGCTGGGATGAAAGGGGTTCAAAGGAGAGACCAGACATATATCTGTCTTTTTAAAGTACGGCATGGCCCCATCTTACCTGCAATAGTTGTGCTCACCCAGGCCCCCCTCCCCGTTGGGGTATTTCAGAGTATTGTACGGATGCTGAAAAGTCTCGTTCCAAAACAGACATGGCTTCCCGCCTTGCAGTGCCGTCCAGTTCTGTGTTCCCCTATAATCCGCACCATTGGCTGTGAAACACTCTAGGAGAAAGCAAAGACAGAGCAAACTAATTTTCCGGCAACATTCATAGTTTCCTCCCTCTTTGGTTGATGTTTTGTTTGTTTGGACCAAGTTGGAAATGGATAGTGTCTTGCTAGATCCTGGACACAGTGCAGTGAACATTTCTGGGGCTAAATAAATCTGAAATAGGTACCCTCAAAAAGCCAGGCTAATCTTGGCACTAGCTTGTCTACAGACAGTAGAACATTTTTCCCGTAAAGCATACAGATCCCAACTAGGATATAGACAGAGAGCTGAAGTGTACTAAAGCCCATGAAGTGAACTAGGAAACCCCCAAATCTGGGAACAGTTGGTAACAGCCATCCACATGGAATTCTGGGTACTCGGAGGGGGTCAGTGCTCTCGCCAGTTTCTCTGTGTGGTAACTAGAACCAGGTCACCAGCTGTAACTGAGCTCTCCCCTACAGTCTGAAAGGCTGCCCTGACACTTGGATTTAATAAGACCATCGGATACAGCAATGCTTTGGAATCCCAATCACACAAATCTGGGAATGACTCACATTCCCTGGTAATGAAGAACAGTCCTCCCCATGCTGTTTGAGATAGAGGTGCAACAAAACAGACAGTCAACAGGAGGGAGGAAGGGCCGAGTTGGCATTTTCTCTCACCTCTTTCTGAAATTCTTTCTGCAAGGCACATTGAAAATTGTCTCAGGTCCAATTTAATAAAATGACAAATCCTCTCAGGTGCAACAATGTGTTTCTAAAATCTGCTTCTCAGACTTTGGGGGATGGGAACTGAGGCTGATAGGATTTTCACCCACATATTGCATGCATTAAACTTGAAGAGGTTCATGAGACCAGCACAGTACAAAGAACAATTTTTAGAAAGTAGCTTAGTTGAAACTGACAGATAGAAGCACTTCAAACACTTTTTAAAGATATATCACTAGAAAACTGACAATCTGGGGGATTTATACGAGCATTCTCAGCTGTATTTCTTTCCTTCTCCTGGCATGCACTGACCTCTAACTTCCGGTATTAAGGACTCTTAATGCCATCTCTTAGTGTTGTCCATGTGCCTACTCTATTCTAAGCATGTGAGCAACACGAGCACATTCTGGAAGATATTTCTTTTAATACTTCAAACTGTCCACAGAACATCTTTCTTCTAGTGCCCTCTTCCTCTGACCATCCAGGCTCTGTGTTTTGTCTGGAATGGCACCATTTTATGGATAGCCAAAATAATCTGAATGCCCAGCTATGCAAAAAACCCTAGCAATTTATTATTTATTATTTATTATTTTATTTTTATTTTTTGAGTCTTGTTCTGTTGCCCAGGCTGGAGTGTAGTGGTGCGATCTCGGCTCATTGCAACCTTCACCTCCCAGGTTCAAGATTCTCCTGCCTCACCCTCCCTAGTAGCTGGGGTTACAGGCACCTGCCACCACATCCAGCTAATTTTTGTATTTTTAGTAGAGACGGGATTTTGCCATATTGGCCAGGCTGATCTCAAACTCCCAACCTCAAATGATCTGCCCACCTTGGCCTCTCAAAGTGCTGGGATTACAGGCGTGAGCCACTGTACCTGGCCAACCCTAGCAATGTATCATGTCTGGTGCAAAGCTCATGTGTTATGATAAGAGCAACTCTTCATGTACCATGAGGCCAAACCCTCAAACAAGAGTCTGCATAAATAAGTTCAAAGGTAATTGAAAGAGGCAGCTCAGTGTAGCATAAAATGCACTAAACCAAGAGACTAAGCCTTGGCTTCTTGTCCTGGACCTGCTGCTGACCAGCTGTGCGACCTTGGATGAATAAACATCATCCAAATCACTTCTAATATTTACACAATGTTTTACAAATGTCAACTTACCACCGACCCAGAGCAGTACCTTAGTACCCCATTTCACAGATGAAGGAATTGACACTCGACCACGCCTGTGCTGCCTCTTATGGAGCCCCTTTTGCATCACCCTTGTTTCCCCATTCTCTCCCTCACTCCGCTTCCAATTCATCAGCAAGTCCTGTTGACTTCCTTAAAACTTATACCCTGAAACTGCCTTCTCCTCTCCATCTTGGATGCCAACAGTATAGTTCCCTTTATCATTAGAGAATGGTTTGGTCTCACAGCCTCCATTTCTGTTCTCTTACAGTCCATTCCCCATAGTTCTGAAGAGAATGACGGCACTCAGAACAAAACCAACTCTTCCTCGGTGATTGCACGGCCTCTGTGATGCAGCCTCAGCCCCTTCCTCCCACTGAAGCAGAGCTCTTCCCTTACTCACTTGCTGTGCTCCAGCCACACTGGTCTGCTTTTAATTCTGTGAGTACACTATGCTATTTCCTGCCCAAAATGTTCTTTCCCTAATACTTCCCATCACAGACTAAATACTACCTCCTCAGAAAGCCTTCCCATCGTCTTTACTCCTATTTTTCTACCCTGTTTGCTTCACAACACTTACTATCACAAGGAATATATATGATCTGAGAGAGAGAGAGAGAGAGACAGACAGAGAATGTGTGTGGGATCTACCACACCAGACACACCAGAGCCCTATTCCAACCCCAGAGCTATAGTAGGACCTGAGACCTGTATTTTTGAAAAGCAGCTCAGGTGGTTCTGTTAAGTAATCAGGTTTGAGAACCGCCAGACTAGATGATTCTAAGAACATCAAGCCAACCAACTGCTAAATTTTAATTGCTATGTTTTAATACACCTTTTTCTAAAATGCCAATTGCTAGAATTTTAATTGCTATGAGTTAATACATCTTTTTCTCCTATCAGAGCTTGTATAGCAAAACATCATATTGTACCCCTTAAATATATAGGATAAAAATAAATTGTTTTAAAAAGTGTGAGGGGTGCCGGGCGCGGTGGCTCACGCCTGTAATCCCAGCACTTTGGGAGGCCGAGGCGGGTGGATCACGAGGTCAAGAGATCGAGACCATCCTGGTGAACATGGTGAAACCCCGTCTCTACTAAAAATACAAAAAATTAGCTGGGCATGGTGGCGCATGCCTGTAGTCCCGGCTACTCGGGAGGCTGAGGCAGGAGAATTGCCTGAACCCAGGAGGCGGAGGTTGCGGTGAGCCGATATCGCCCCATTGCACTCCAGCCTGGGCAACAAGAGCGAAACTCCGTCTCAAAAAAAAAAAAAAAAAGTGTGAGGGGTGATCCGGCAGCCAGAAATGCAACTCAATATATCAATGGAAGGTCTTAGCTATACATAGCAACCTGCAGGGCAGGAGGGGGTCCTGAGACTTGGATGACTTGGTTTGTAATACAGAAGAATGTGGCAGATGTGTAATAAAAAGAATCCACACACAGGACTGTCCTTATGAATGGAGACAAGATGGCATCTCAGAGTGGAAGTGGGAAAGTGCAGTCTTGTTTGCTTGGGTCTGTTCCTCTTAGACCCAATCTTTTCTCAGTTACACTGGGGAAACTGAGGCAGTGTAACACATTCTGTGATTGTTTTTTGACCAGCCTTGCCCAGTACTTATCAATTGTGGAGAAAAGCAAAGAAAACAAACCTGAAAGCTCTGGATTTTTTTGTTTTGAGATAGAGTCTCACTCTGTCACCAGGCTGCCCAATATTGCAGTCTCAGCTCACTGCAAGCTCTACCTCCCAGGTTCAAGCAATTCTGCTGCCTCAGCCTCCTGAGGCCCACCACCATGCCCAGCTAATTTTTGTATTTTTAGTAGAGACAGGCTTTCACCATGTTAGCCAGGCTGGTCTCAAACTCCTGATCTCGTGATCTGCCCTCCTTGGTCTCCCAAAGTGCTGGGATTATAGGTGTGAGCCACTGCACCCTGCCAAATGCTCTGGATTTAAAGTCATCCGTGCATCTTGATTTCATCAGATACTAGGATGTGTATTAGGTAAATAGGACCCTACCTCCCTTATTTTTTTTTTCTTCAAAATAGTGATTTTACTTCCTTTGTATATGTACCTAGAACTGAGATTGCTGGAATATGGTCATTCTATTTTGAATTTTTTGAGGAACTTCCATACTGTTTTCTATAGTGATTATATTGATTTTTTTTGACTTTATTTTAGGTTCCGGCATACATGTGAAGGTTACATAGGTAAGCTTGTGTCACGGGGTTTGTTGCAGATTATTTAATCACCCAGGTGCCCAACAGTTATCTTTCCTGCTGCTTTCCCTCCTCCCACCCTCCGCCCTCAAGTAGACCCCAGTGTCTGTTGTTTCCTTCTTTGTGTTCCTAAGTTCTGTCATTTAGCTCCCAGCCTCCCTTATTTTCTACTGCTATGAAACTGATATAAGCTTTGGCTAAATAAGCAAGAGATCTAATGTTTAGGAAATTATTCATTAATTACTTCAGCAAATATTTATTCAATACCATGTGCCTGGCACTGTTGACAGCACTGGGGCTACAGAGATGAACAAAGATCTTGTATTCATGGAGCTTACAGACTTATAAAAAACTGATCAAAATTAACATCAGATAGTGATAAGTGCTATTAGGAGGAATGAAGCAGGGTAAAGGGAGGGATATGGAATGGGGAGGGTTCCCTCCTGGAGTGGGTCAGAGAAGGCCTAGGGAGCAGAGATGTGGATGAAGGGAGGAAGCAAACCCAGTGAATGGGGTGGGAGGTGCGTAACTGGCAGAGTGTCCAGCAAATGCAAAGCCCCTGCAAATGGCAATATGCTTGGCAGGTCGGGGAGCTACAAAGCTGCTCCTCTAATCTGACTGAAGTAGAAGAATGAGTAGGGAAGGGCAGGCAAGGCCAGGATGTGTGAGGTCTTGAGGGTTAGATAAATGAGATTTTCGCTTTTTTTGTAAGTGTAGGGGGAAGCCACTGGAGGGCTTTGAGCAGGGGAATGACATGATATGATTTATCTTTTATTTTTATTTATTTATTTTTGTGACTTATCTTTTAATAGAATTGACTAGCTGTTGGGTAGAGGAAAAACCATTGATAGGAACTAGACAGGGAGAAAAGTAGGTAGTTACTGTAGAAGGATGGCCTGGACTAGGCTGGCAGCTGTGG